CAGCCCAAAGACTAAAATGTGGGCGTTACTGTGTGAGCGTCTAGTTATTTCAAATACTCCTTTGATTTCAAGACAATTAGTTGTACTATTGTACAAAACAGTACATGTGTGCGCTATCGCACAAGGTGAAAAACTAAACTTAAACATATTGAAATAAAACTAACAAAATCACTTACATATCGGTCCCGCTTGTGCCAAAGGTTTGGAACGAAAGAACGAAGATACTGCTGTTCAAGGCGAAATCTTGCGAAACTCTGGCTTAAAGGAACGCTAACTTAGCTTTTATATGCGCGTGGTGACGCTAAAAGATCCGATTACAAACCAATAGGGAAAAGATAAACATTGTAACTACGATCGTAACTAGGCACACAAAGTAATTGATAATTGATCTAATCAAAAAAAAAAAAACTGTTCTTTTGTTCGATATCCTTAACATAAGATTTGGTTCGTGTATTTTTATCCCATATCTATGAGGCCCTGAAATTGTTGAATTAATACTTTATCTTACTGGTGCTCCTATTTATTTTATGGAAATCATCACGCCTTTTGAATAACTTATTATCAAGAGTATGTGATGGAAACCTTCGACCCCCAGAGTGACTAGCAAATAATTTAAATTGGCCACCTTAACACTTTAACTCCCATGAGTGACCAAGACAGAATTTCTCCTTACAATATCAATACAATATCAAGCAGACAAGTGATGAGAATAAAGAAAAATATTGATTAGGGGATTATCAGTTGATCCAATACCAAATTCTCCAAACTAACTTCGCAAGAATTATATGGCAGACAGTAAGGAGAATTACTATTGAGATCTTGGGAGTGAAAGGGTTAAACGAATTTCTAAGCTGATGTTTTAAGCATTTAACCTTAGGTCAGAGCAAAAGATGAAGGCACACTCTTGGAAACTCTTTATGGTGGCTAATTTACATCATTATTCAGTTGTTAAAATCAAACTGTCATGTTAATAATGACTCCCATTATTGCAGACACCCTCAGGGGGAGATTTAGTGTCCATAAGAGCAAGGGTCTCTAATAGTATCAAAGTACTGGTACTTTTTAAGTTTTTGCTGTAGCGAGAGAAAAAAACAAGTGAAATCTTGGGCTGGAGGGCATAAAAGTGTCTGCATTTCCATAAGAACAAGAATTGGTAATAATGGGAGTTTATTTCAGTCATATGTGTTTCACAGGGGGGCTATGCAGTACCACTGACAGTTTCTTTAGAAACTGACCCCCTTTATTCATTTGTATTTGATATGATGCATATACTCCTTTTCCTGTAGAATCCCAGTGCCCCGGGAATGCATAACATAGGAAGTTCGCCAAGTGACAGCCATGTGAGGGTTTCATACCAAGACAAACCTGGATTTTTGAAGCAAGTGCGGGAAAGCTTCTATGTATCCCTGTTTGGAGTTTTTCTTGTTATTGCTTCATTTTATTTACTTTATTGGAATGAGGTGAGGATATAAGCTCCTAGGGGCAGTGTTAGTAGTCCATTTTTAATATAATACAGGAAGCCAAGAAGTTCTATATTACAGTTAACTGGAATGGCCGCTATAATTTATAGTATTGTTGATTATTTTGTTTTTTTCCCCTTGCATTCAGTGTTCTGGATTTAACTCTGCTAGTGCCTTATGAACAAGTGAATACATATTTTCAAATTACTTCTACAATAATCAAAGACTGATAATACAAAAGAGCTTAACCCTTTAACCCTTACGAGTGATTAGCACCTAATTTCTCCTTACAATATCATCCCTAAATCATACATTTAGGTTATGAGAATAAAGGAAATGATCACCAACTAAAGAAGCTCTAGTTTATTAATAAAAAATTCTCCTTGTTAGCACCTTAGGAAATGTATAGAGCATAGTATGGAGAGTTTGCTAACTGATGCTAGGGTTTAAAGGGTTAGTAAGGTGTAAAAACCTGCAAAGTTACTGTAGACATGTTCTTAATACAAAAGAAATGATTACACTTCACTTGACAGGGAAGGGCTGTTCAAACAGCTCTATCATTGGACGAGGGTCTGAGGCAAGTAGTCCATATTCATGACATTGACCAAATAAGTTCTGAATATCAGGATAAACTGGTTCACCTCTCTGGAAGTCTTCAAACAGACAGGGTGAGAGCTTGTAATGTCTTTTCTTCACTTGAGTCTGTCTGTTGCAAGACAGCTTAAACACCCCTGAAATCTTATGGCTGATTTTTCAAAATGACTTGACTGATTCACTCCTAGGATCTGATTATAAAATCTCCATTCTGTTTGCTGTTAATGTTTTTATTAATTATTTTTTGCCTAAGAATTTACTGTTTTAAGTGTTTTCCTACAACCCATTGCTTAACTGTTTGGTAGTGTTGTCAAAAACTATCTTGTATACCAATCTTAAGCAGGGGTGGGGAGGAGAAGAATGAGTGAGTTTCAGGAGACAACATCTGCAACTTGGTTATCCTACATGTAGCATGACAAACCCCTCATGTTTTGCAAAGCTGTTTGTTATCAAATTGAAAAATAGCTTTGTGAGACATTGCTGTAGTTATTATCTTCTTCTATTATAATTGTAATATATATCATCACAAATACTATGATTTTATACATAATATAATTATCAATCACACTACCAGTTAATATTGTTTTTAATTACTATTCTGGTCAGGTGCTGAGTGATTCAGACTATGGCATTGCAGTCAAAGCTGCCAGACTAAGACGAAATGTTGAAATGTACCAATGGGTGGAGCATAAACACACCGGGTATTAATCAACCCTTGGACTCTCCTGATCCAATCTTCTTTTTGATTCCTTCGTGTTCATGTATATGCTATTCTTTTCCTTGTAAATCAGTTAAAAAATGTAGTGGTGTACTTGAGGCATTATAGAGTGCCATCAAGTTAAAAGCCCCAACTGAACTCATTACTTGTTTGCCGATTAATAAGATTAATAAAGACATGATGAAACTGTGAGAACTTAGTCAAGCATTCAGTGTCACTTATAATAATAGTTTATTTATGGTAATAGAACCAATTCTGTCTTAAATCATATGAGGGATAAACAAAATCTGATGAGCTAAAGATGGAGGTCTTATTTGCCAGTCATATAGTGCTACTTAAAATTTATTGTGACAATAGCAAGTTATTGTAGTGCTTTTTTCCACCTTCTCTATGGACCACCATATACACAGTCAAGTGATTGTAATGTTGTAAAATATTGATAAGAATTTGTTCAAGGTATCATTGAAATTTCAGGGAACATGATGAAGGAGGACAAGAAGGAGTAAAAACAGTGACCACATACAGTAAGTTTGACAAAAGTGGTCTTCTCTTCTTATTCCAAAAGTTAAAAGTAATAATAACAAGATATTTTTAACCAAGAATTGATTGCTAGAGAGGCAAAGCAACTCTCTCTGAATAATTTAGCGAATATGATGTTTCCAGGTTCAAATTTAGGACAGCTGCTGAAATAAATGATAAAGGAAGTTATGTAGGAGAACATTCTCATGATCAAAGGGGTGCAAGAATCTATCCAAAACATGTTTTAGTCTGATTGTAATATATTTAGTAACAGCTTGTCTTTGGTGAAAGTTATAACTTTTATTGACAGTCGTGACCCAAAATGTGATTCCAAGTTGCCTATTATGGACTCCTGGTCAGGAGCTTCTCACATAGTATCAAATGACTGAAAATATTTCCACTCCTCATGTATGGTATCCTAGTCTTTCTTAAGGAAATTGGAGGTAATAAGGATTACCTCCTTTCAAGTCCCACCCCCCCCCCCTCTCCCTTCCCAAGGATAAAGATAATTCACTTGTGAAACGATAAGGTCTATCTCCAAGAACACTGCACAGTAACCTGATCAGCTTGGCTTGACCCTGGTCCTTTCAACTGGAGTCAGGCACACTAATAGTATCTCCCAAAGTTGCATGGTTAACTCCCGTGAATGACCAAGGTAGAATTTCTCCTTACTATATCTATACAATATCATGCAGTCAAGTGATGAGAATTCAGAAAAAATATCAATTATGGGATTACTTATTGATCTGATACCAAATTCTCCAAACCAACATGGTGAGAATTGTTTCGCAGACAGTAAGGAGAATTACTAATGAGATCTGGAGAGTGAAAGGATTAATATACAAACCTTTAACTGTCTGTGAGACATGACCCAATGGTTACATGTAAGTCTTATATCTGCTTATTTTTGTCTTAGAGGATAATTTTAGTTTTATCAACAGTATTGATGATGTAAATTGGCCACTGTAAAAAGTTTAAAATAGTTTCATGAGATTTTCAAACTCTTTACATTGGCAAGTTTACATTATTATTTCAATTCATCTTGTTATACTTTCCCACCAATGCAGCACCACAATTTCCTCAAAAGCTTGCCCCCTTTATTAATTTATTCTTGTCTTGATTTTTTGCAGCTACCGAGTGGAGTAGCATTTCATCTGTAACTGGTAGTTTTGCTGAGCCTGGGCATCAGAATCCCAAAACTATGCCAGTACAATCATACACTAAAGAGCCAGACTCTGTGAGAGTTGGGGCATTCAGTCTTTCTAAAGGTATGTTTTGAAAGAAGATCAGTTACTATCCACAGGAGTAGGCAAGATTTTGTATTAGGGGAGCAACGCCTGTATCATGCTTTTTACCTTTTTTTTTCTTAGAGCTTATTAGAAAAATAGATGCTTTCCAGCCATTGAGTCCCCGAGAAGTTCCTCAAGGAAAGATGATGAATATCCATAACGGGATGTTTTATCATTCTACGGACCCATCTCATCCCATAGTAAGTTGATTCATGGTTAAGTCTTGCAATTGCATAGTTGTGAGTGGCTATAAGACTGTTGGAACCGACCAATCACAACTGAGCAGGCCATTTGGGTAGCCAATCACAACTGATGACAGCAACTACATAACTAGAGTCAGCCAATAACATGACAGCAAAACTGACCAATCAGTCTTCACCAAAAAGCACTACAACATTCGTGTGAAAAGCAACCATTCGTTTGACTTACAATCCCTTTCCTCGCAGGTTGTTGAAACATTAGTCAGTCTAACAGTTATTTCCAGGACCACTCTCAGCCGGACGATCGTACCATACTATATATATCTTATGAGACATTTAGAGTATTTTTATGAGTTGTGCCGCACTTTGATGAGTAGGGCTTGTAAAATACAAACAACGAATAAAAATACTCAGTAATACTACACGCCAAAATGTCATATAAGTTATTTATTATCCAATTGCTTTTTTTCTGCTAAGTCTTTCAGTTCATTTCTCGTAAGGCAGGAAAAGCAAAGTGGATTTAGAAGCATAGCGCATGCAGCTGACTGGTTAAACAGGTTTTTTTACAGTACAAAATAAACAACTATCCAAATAACTGCACAATATCGCAGGATATTTGTACTCTATTAAAGCGTATATTATATTTAAATATATATATTTAAAGCTCAGACCAAGCCTTTAAGATGGCTATGAGGAAAAGGGCATTCATTGGATTCTCAAATTGAGAAATCTCTGTTATATTGAGTGACTTTTATATTGGAGTTAGTACATCTCTCTCATAGATTTTACTAAAAAAGGGCTGAATACATTATTTTGTTTTTACCAAGGAGGGCTTCTTTATGTAATAAGGTTTGTTTAATAACAGTTCCTATTATGAATCTTGAATGTTCCCAAACGTGACTAGAGGAATCTTGAAACCTTACTGATAGGTTTATTTCATTGTAAAGCATAAGCTTAAGAAACTGCGGCATGCAAGTGGCCGATTCGATTCTCAGAATTATTCTAGTTTCAGTTGCGCCGAGCGTTATGTAAGCTTAATTCAACCCGCTACATCTATTCTTTTATAAGATTTTGATCACGTAACGAATATCGCAATTTTTACTTACCACAAACTTTCAAAATCGTAGCTTTACAGATGGCCACTCGACCCTTGTTTGTACCACTCAATATGTCAACTGTTGTCCTTTCTTTTAACTCCACGGCGCCAACGACTTTCTTTTCTTTTACAATAAGCCACAATAAAAGCTATCTTAAGAAATGTTATATTAAGCAAAACAGTTGAGAAAAACGATCA